TGACGAGTTTCTCCCACGACTGGCCTATCTGGGTGATGTTTCTTCTCGCCTGAATGATCTGAATCTAGGATTACAGGGACTCTCCGAAACTATATTCAATGTGCGGGACAAAATTGAGGCTAAGATTAAGAAGTTGGAGCTCTTCTCTGTCTGCATTAACAAGGACAACACACAGGTCTTTCCATCATTGGATGATTTTTTGTGTGCAAATGAACTCAAGCTTACGGACAATGTCAAATCTGATATAGCGAAGCACCTGAGTGAGCTGGGTGCGCAATTACGCAGGTACTTTCCCGAAACGGACGACACAAACAACTGGATTCGTTATCCCTTTCATGCCCTGCCTCCAATCCAATTAACGATATCTGAACAAGAGAGCCTCATTGAAATTGCAACAAGCGGTTCTGTGAAAATTTAATTTAAATCAGAAGCCACTGCCAGATTTCAGGGCTGCCAAGGCAAATCGCGCTGTTAAGACACTGATGCCCTTGCAACCACGTACAGTTGAAGTCGGAAGTTTACATCCATTTAGGTTGGAGACATTAAAACCCGTTTTTCAACCACTACAAACATTTCTTGTTAACAAACTATAGTTTTGGCAAGTCGGTTAGGACATCTACTTTGTGCATGACACAAGTAATTTTTCCAACAATTGTTTACAGACAGATTATTTCATTTATAATTCACTGTATCACAATTCCAGTGGGTCAGAAGTTCACATACACCGAGTTGACTGTGCCTTTAAAAAGCTTGGAAAATTCCAGAAAATTATGTAATGGCTTTAGAAGCTTCTGATAGGCTAATTGACATCATTTGAGTCAATTGGAGGTGTACCTGTGGATGTATTTCAAGGCCTACCTTCAAACTCAGTGCCTCTTTGCTTGACATCATGTGAAAATCAAAAGAAATCAGCCAAGACCTCAGAAAAGAAATTGTAGACCTCCACAAGTCTGGTTCAACCTTGGAAGCAATTTCCAAACGCCTGAAGGTACCACGTTCATCTGTACAAACAATAGTACACAAGTATAAACACCATGGGACCACGCAGCCGTCATACCGCTCCGTCATACCGCTCAGGAAGGAGATGCGTTCTGTCTCCTAGAGATTAACGTACTTTGGTGCAAAAAGTGCAAATCAATCCCAGAACAGCAGCAAAGGACCTTGTGAAGATGCTGGAGGAAACAGGTACAAAAGTATCTATATCCACAGTAAAACGAGTCCTATATTGACATAACCTGAAAGGCCGCTCAGCAAGGAAGAAGCCACTGCTCCAAAACCGCCATAAAAAAGCCAGACTACGGTTTGCAACTGCACATGGGGACAAAGATCATACTTTTTGGAGAAATGTCCTTGGTCTGATGAAACAAAAATAGAACTGTTTGGCCATAATGATCATCGTTACTTTTGGAGGAAACTGGGGGAAGCTTGCAAGCCGAAGAACACCATCCCAACCGTGAAGCACGGGGGTGGCAGCATCATGCTGTGGGGGTGCTTTGCTGCAGGAGGGACTGGTGCACTTCACAAAATAAATGGCATCATGAGGAAGGAAAATGATGTGAATATATTGAAGCAACATCTCAAGACATCAGTCAGGAAGTTAAAGCTTGGTCGCAAATGGTCTTCCAAATGGACAATGACCCCAAGCACACTTCCAAAGTTGTGGCAAAATAGCTTAAGGACAACAAAGTCAAGGTATTGGCGTGGCCATCACAAAGCCCTGACCTCAATCCTATAGAACATTTGTGGGCAGAACTGAAAAAGCGTGTGCGAGCAAGGAGGCCTACAAACCTGACTCAGTTACACCAGCTCTGTCAGGAGGAATGGGCCAAAATTCACCCAACTTATTGTGGGAAGCTTGTGGAAGGCTACCCGAAACGCTTGACCCAAGTTAAACAATTTAAAGGCAATTCTACCAAATACTAATTGAGTGTATGTAAACTTCTGACCCACTGGGAATGTGATGAAATAAATAAAAGCTGAAATAAATAATTCTCTACTATTATTCTGACATTTCACATTCTTAAAATAAAGTGGTGATCCTAACTGACCTAATACAAGGAAGTTTTACTAGGATTAAATGTCAGGAATTGTGAAAAACTGAGTTTAAATGTATTTTGGCTAAGGTGTATGTAAACATCCGACTTCAACTGTACCTATGTGAGAGTGGATTCTCGGCCCTCACTAGCATGAAAACTAAATACAGGCACAGACTGTGTGGAAAATGATTTAAAACTGAGACTCTCTCCAATACAACCCAACATTGCAGAGTTATGATCATCCTTTCAAGCACACCCTTCTCATTAACCTGTGGTGCAGACGACAAGACAGTAGTAGGCTTGATTACCAACAATGACAAGACCGCCTACAGGGAGGAGGTGAGGGCTCTGGGAGTGTGGTGCCAGGAAAATAACATTTACATTTAAGTAATTTAGCAGACGCTATAACCTCTCACTCAACATCAACAAAACAAAGGAGATGATCGTGGACTTCAGGAAACAGCAGAGGGTGCACCCCCCTATCCACATTGACGGGACCGCAGTGGAGAAGGTGGAAAGCTTCAAGTTCCTTGGCGTACACATCACCAACAAACTGAAATGGTCCACCCACGCAGACAGTGTGGTGAAGAAGGCGCAACAGAGCCTCTTCAACCTCAGGAGGCTGAAGAAATTCGGCCTAGCACCTAAAACCCTCACAAACTTTTACAGATGCACAACTGAGAGCATCCTGTCGGGCTATATCACCGCCTGGTACAGCAACTGCACCACCCACAACCGCAGGGCTCTCCAGAGGGTGGTGCGGTCTGCCGAATGCATTACCGGGGGCAAACTACCCGCCCTCCAAGACACATACAACATCCGATGTCACAGGAAGGCCAAAAAGATAATCAAGGACATCAACCACCCAACCCACTGCCTGTTCACCCCGCTATCATCCAGAAGGCGAGGTCAGTACAGGTGCATCAAAGCTGGGACCGAGAGAATGAAAAACAGCTTCTATCTCAAGGCCATCAGACTGTTAAATAGCCATCACTAGCACATTAGAGGCTGCTGCTGCCTATTCAAATCACTGGCCACTATAAGAAATGGAACACTAGTCACTTTAATAATGTTTACATATCTTGCACTACTCATCTCATACAGTGGGGAGAACAAGTATTTGATACACTGCCGATTTTGCAGGTTTTCCTACTTACAAAGCATGTAGAGGTCTGTAATTTTTATCATAGGTACACTTCAACTGTGAGAGACAAAACCTAAAACAAAAATCCAGAAAATCACATTGTATGATTTTTAAGTAATTAATTTGCATTTTATTGCATGACATAAGTATTTGATCACCTACCAACCAGTAAGAATTCCGGCTCTCACAGACCTTTTAGTTTTTCTTTAAGAAGCCCTCCTGTTCTCCACTCATTACCTGTATTAACTGCACCTGTTTGAACTCGTTACCTGTATAAAAGACACCTGTCCACACACTCAATCAAACAGACTCCAACCTCTCCACAATGGCCAAGACCAGAGAGCTGTGTAAGGACATCAGGGATAAAATTGTAGACCTGTACAAGGCTGGGATGGGCTACAGGACAATAGGCAAGCAGCTTGGTGAGAAGGCAACAACTGTTGGCGCAATTATTAGAAAATGGAAGAAGTTCAAGATGACGGTCAATCACCCTCGGTCTGGAGCTCCATGCAATATGTCACCTCGTGGGGCATCAATGATCATGAGGAAGGTGAGAGATCAGCCCAGAACTACACGGCAGGACCTGGTCAATGACCTGAAGAGAGCTGGGACCACAGTCTCAAAGAAAACCATTAGTAACACACTACGCCGTCATGGATTAAAATCCTGCAGCGCACGCAAGGTCCCTGCTCAAGCCAGCGCATGTCCAGGCCCGTCTGAAGTTTGCCAATGACCATCTGGATGATCCAGAGGAGGAATGGGAGAAGTTCATGTGGTCTGATGAGACAAAAATCGAGCTTTTTGGTCTAAACTCCACTCGCCGTGTTTGGAGGAAGAAGAAGGATGAGTACAACCCCAAGAACACCATCCCAACCGTGAAGCATGGAGGTGGAAACATCATTCTTTGGGGATGCTTATCTGCAAAGGGGACAGGACACTGCACCGTATTGAGGAGAGGATGGATGGGGCCATGTATCGCGAGATCTTGGCCAACAACCTCCTTCCCTCAGTAAGAGCAATGAAGATGGGTCGTGGCTGGGTCTTCCAGCATGACAACGACCCGAAACCTACAGCCAGGGCAACTAAGGAGTGGCTCCATAAGAAGCATCTCAAGGTCCTGGAGTGGCCTAGCCAGTCTCCAGACCTGAACCCAATAGAAAATCTTTGGAGGGAGCTGAAAGTCCGTATTGCCCAGCGACAGCCCCGAAACCTGAAGGATCTGGAGAAGGTCTGTATGGAGGAGTGGGCCAAAATCGCTGCTGCAGTGTGTGCAAACCTGGTCAAGACCTACATGAAACGTATGATCTCTGTAATTGCAAACAAAGGTTTCTGTACCAAATATTAAGTTCTGCTTTTCTGATGTATCAAATACTTATGTCATGCAATAAAATGCAAATTAATTACCTACAAATCATACAATGTGATTTTCTGGATTTTTGTTTTAAATTCCATCTCTCACAGTTGAACTGTACCTATGATAAAAATTACAGACCTCTACATGCTTTGTAAGTAGGAAAACCTGCAAAATCGGCAGTGTATCAAATACTTGTTCTCCCCACTGTATGTATATACTGCATTCTATTCTATAATATTCTACTGTATCTTAGTCCATGCCGCTCTGTCATTGCTTGTCCATATAAGTATATATTCTTAAATCCCATTCCTGACTAGTTGTGTGTATATGTTGTGAAATTGTTAGATATTACTGCACTGTCGGAGCTAGAAGCACAAGCATTTCGCTACACCCGCTATAACATCTGCTAAACACATGTATGTGACAAATACAATTTGATTTGGTGAGTTATTCACTATGTATTTGATGAACAAATAAGGTTTTATATGTAAGATGGCTAAATAAAGAGCAAATGTGTTGATTTTTATTATATTATTATTATTATATCTATGTGCTCGATTTTATTCACCTGTCAGCAACGGGTGTGGCTGAAATAGCCGAATCCACTAATTTGAAGGGGTGTCCACATAGATTTGAATGCATGTATATATACAAAAGTATCTCACCTGAACTCGTGCTCGCTGACGACCTCTCCCAGGTACTCGATGATGAACTGGCCTGAGCGGAGGGGCTCCTTGGTGCGGATGCCCCAACCCTTGCCCTCAGCACGGAAGCGCTCCAGGCACTGCACCCACTCATGCCTCTGGATGTGCTGGTTGTCACACTGCTCCCCGAAGGGACAGGTGCCGGGGGAGCACTCGGCAAAGCTCATCCTGAGGGAGTGGGAGAAAATACTTATATTGCAGCCCAGTGGGAGACACCAAGATACTTTAATCATATTGAATTCCATTCACATCTTGACATGCTATTCCAAGGCAGATTTCTGAACATTGATGTAAATTGAAGACTCAAGCAGGTTTGAAATCGTTTTCCTTGTAGATAAAGATAACACTTCTGGGAGAATATACCAGTGTGCGGGTCTATTTTAGTCTCCAACGCCAGTGTTTATACCTGTTGAGGCATTCGTCAAGGCAGCCTCTGTCAACGGCTTCCCCAGAAGGCCTGCAGTTACAGGTGGTGACTTCATAACCCGAGACAGGCTTCACATCCACATAGACATCTACAGTGGACACAGGTAACACAAGTCAAGGTCAGATACACAATAGCTTGACCAGATCATGGCTGCCTTAATGCTCAGCATTAAATAGTGTTTGGTTTCATTATTATTGAGGCGACTGGACCTTAGAAAGTGTGTACTCACTTGATCTGATCTTTTTATAAAGGGGGACGTCAGGCTTCTCATAGAGCTACAACGATCAAGAAATGGAGGTTATTACATCATAAGTAAGTAGCCTTGTCCGAGCCAGAACTGCCCATAGCCCAGTACACCTGCTGGACAGGACGCTAGTCTATAGCAGGCCTTACGCCATAAAAAGAGAAACTCTTATATAGATTGAACAAATTCCTATTATATTTTGTTGACTCTGAGGGAACAACACTTAGCAGTGAACATGAGTGATCACCTGGTCATGTTTCCACAGCCACAAGATGTCATAAGGCAACTGGAAATCAATGCGCTTCTGTCTTAGGTACTTTCCTGAAAGAGGGTGGGGGGAGACAGAAAATAACTGTGAGAATGCGTGAGAGGGGAAGGAGGGAGTTGATTTTAAGACACAGTAACATGTCATGACAAAATGTGTGTGTGTTTGCGTGCAAGAACACTCACCGACATGGATGGGGGCAGGAAAAAGCCCGTACTCGTGTTCCCCAGGTGTGTACTCCAGTTTCTCTTTCTTCAGTTGCAGGAGCTGACTACGAGGACTGAAAGAGAAACAGAGACAAAAAAAATAAGAGCGAGTGAGATGTCCATATATGCCCTAAATATTACTGGTTTGACCTTTGGTAAGCAAACAGGTATATCCAGATTTTACATCTGTCACAATTATGGGACTCACTCTGCAGTCTTGTACACATCAGAGTAGAGCCCCGCCTTTTGGTACTTTTTCTTTGGAGGCCTGGCTGCTCTCTTCTCCCGTTGGCTGGTTATAGGCATGGGTGGAGCTTGTTCCATGGAGACGGTGCCCGGACGTTCCGGGGAGGAGGGGCCATCTGGTTTCCCCTCCAGAGCACTGAAATAGAACCAAGACTCACTTTAAAGTAATGACTGGCTTGATAGATTCTCCTATATATACACACAGCTGCTAAGACCTAAGATTAGCACTGCCTATAAAAGTAAGCTGCATCATGATCACAGTGCTCCACACTCACTGTTGAGGCTACAACAACGTTGGCCTGTAGTGGTGATGGTTTTACCTGCGAAAGCGGTGCAGCTCCTCTTGGGTGAGCCAGCCTCTTCCTCCCCCGGCTCTGGACCTCATCCCCAGGCCTCCCAGGTTCACCTCCCTGTCCAGCGCACGTTCCTCCACCTCCTCACCCTCCCCCACCTCCTCCCCCTCCCCTCCCTCCTCCTCCTCCTCGTCCCCATCTCTCTCCCAGTGCTTCCTCTTCTGGCCTTTCCTGCGCTGGCCCTGGACCACTGACTCAATCGCGTCTGTCACCGTGTCCTCTTTCCACGCTCCTTCCCCTGACCCTGCTCGGTCCCGGTGCCTGTTCTGGGTCACTTCGGCCGGAGGGGTTGGCGATGGGGGCGGGGAGGGTAGGGGATGCTTCCTGGGGCGCCCGGGGCCCCTCTTCTTGACCACGTTGTTGCCTGTTCTCGCCTGTCTCTGGAGCTTCTTGGCGCGGAGGATCTTGTTGACGTGGTGCAGGCTGTGTTTGGAGGGCTGGGCCCGGTGGGAGTGGTGCGGCGGGGAGGCATCATTGTCCAGGCAGCAGCCCTGGGAGGGCGAGTCGTGGCCGCAGAGGGAGAGGCAGGCAGAGGAGGAAGAATGGGAGTGGAACAGAGGGTGGTGGTGATGGTGCTGCATGAGGTGGTCCTCAGGGGCAGAGTGGTCGCCTCGGGTCTGGACACCTGATGTATTCCCTTCACATAAACAGACAAGGACAGAGAAGAGGGGGGGGGGAATTAGATGATAAACACAGGGATAAGCTGCAACGTGACACTTGTATTGAACTTTGATTTATGATCCATTCCAAGCCCTAGCTTACTTCCACTGTTAGGCCTATGAGTAGCCTCTTTCTTTTAATGCTGCTTATAATTATCAAGTCTTAAATTGAAAGGAAAATCAATTTGACATCCACTGCCAATTCCCTCGGCCTCCTCACACAAATGCAGTTGATTACAGATAGACATACAGGCTAGGCCCACCTCACCAAACACATGCCATGTCACGTAATGAACAATGACGTCATACTTTTTCCAGCTTATCCTCTCAAGCCATAAAGTATTGCATTTAGTCCACTCACATTAGTGAACGGTGCTACTATAAGTAAAGGGGGACTGTGTCAGTGCCCAATCAACACCTAGCCACTCCACCGCTCCCATCCCCTCTGCTGCTTCCTTCCCTCGTTTCTCTCCTCTGGTTCACACTCCTGTGCAAGGTACTTCCCACCCTCCACCCTTTGCCTCCCTGCCTACTAGGCTACCTCCATGGTGGTGGTGGTGGTGCAGTCTGACCGCTGGACGACCCGGTGTCCTGAGCTCTAATCTTGGATTACCCTGGCTGGGTTCAAACTACACCATGCTGCCTTCCTACCTCACCGGGAGCCTTCCACCCAGCGTGCCTGGCCTCCTCACACATTCACAGTACACACACACACTCAAAAGCCCATCTATCTCAGTCAAAGGCAGCTTGATGAAGCAGAATCATTACCCAAAGCACTCTGACTTACCTGTCCAGCTATATTAGCTGTGTACACAGGAATCTAAGACAAACACAGCCTTTCAGTTTGACAGCTTTGAAAGGAAAGGAAGCCTACCAAATATAACCTGTAACAAAAGTCCAGCTCAACTATTCTTATGGATAGAACATCTCGCTGGACATCCTACAAGGCTACAATGACAACCACACACAAAGTAGGGCCAGTTTAAGTAATTATGGGTTTTTTGCTGCCAAGCCCTTAATCACTAGTTAGGGCTATCTAATGTCAGGGCCGGTAGAGGGTAGATGTACGTACAAGGGATGGCATTGTGTCCCTCCAAGGGATTTCTAAAGGGTATATTGAGTCATTGAACACTGCGATTCAGCAGAGATAATGGTCGCGTCCCAAATGGCACCATTGTAGTGGTCAGAAGAAGTGCACTGTAAAGGGAATAGGGTGCCATTTGGGACACGGCCAGTGTTCAGCGCTCACTATGCCATATGGTGGTTTGTAAAGGGGTCACTGCATGGATACATAACCCTGGAATCAATACTGCCACTAATGGCTATGCATACCAGGCCAAATTCACTACTTATTGCCAAGAAATGAAGCTAAGCGACATTATCCAATCAAAACAGAAACCGCTGAATTCTTGAGGCACTAGCAGCAGAACTATTTTTGAAAGTGAACTTGGTGCACAATTCAATAACCATCATAATGTCAGATTCAATTTGGGTCCAAAGTAGTACAAAGAAATGTTGGTGCAGAAATCAGATTCGGAGCTATAAATAGCACAGGGATTTTGCATGCTCTCAAAAAATGAATTTCCATCCATGCAAATAGCCTAAACACTGCAGAGGACTCCCTCACATTGATAATGTACACACTAGTACTGTACTAGGCTAGATTTCAGCAAGACACTGATCCTGTAGGCTAACATCTCTCTCTGTTACAGCCCTGTTACAGTGACTCACCCATCTCTCTCCTCTCTGCTGACGTGGAGTGGTCCTTTCTCAGCATCAGCTCCATCCGGGAGAAGTTAGCACTCTCCACCGGCCCTCCCTTCCTGCCACCGCCACCCCTCAGCGAGGTGCGGGTCAGGGCGGTGGCGAACAGGTTGGTGTGGTGCGGGGGGTCCTGGGAGTTGGGGTCCATCTCGCCTGTGGGCGTGAGGGGCTCCTCCTCCTCACTGTCTGAACAGCCCACTGGGTCCTCTCCCTGGCCGTCTGCGAACGGGCCCTGGTCGGCCCCCGCGGGGTTCCGGGAGAGCTTAGCGTAGTCTGCCTCGGAGCTGCCCATCCTGAACCAGGACTCTACGGGGTGGTGGCCCCGGGGCCCGGCACTGCCCTGGGCCAGACGAGAGGGCCCCAGGCAGGACAGGGATGTCTCCTTGCGCTTGTACCTCTCGGCTGAGGAAGAGGAGGACGAGGAAGGGGAGTTGGCCGTGGCCTGTTTGTTGGCAATGGTGGTAGTAGGGGTAGAGTCTCTTCCGAAGCGGCAACGCTGCAGAGATTCGGCCATTCCAGCGCCGCTGGCTCCGCGTTCTCCTCTTCCCGACCCCGGGCTCTCGGTCATTCCCACTCCGACTCGGCTCCCTCCTCCTCCCTCTTCCCCGTCCTCCTCGGCGCAGCGCTCTCTGTGTTTGTGTCTGTGTTTGTGTTTGTGATGCCAGCCGAACGACAGCTCTGATGACATAGCCGGGTAGAGCACGGGAGACCGGCCCCCACCCAGGAACTCCTGCCTCAGCAGCTTGTGTTTCTTTTTGTGAAATTTGGAGGGGTTGAGCAGGAGGTGTGACGGGTGGTGGTGGTGCACGTAGGAGGGGGGAGGCGGCGGGTGGAAGGAGGGGGAGTGATGGGAGAGGTGGGACGGGGCAGAATGGGGGTTCTGGTGATGGGGGTATAGGGCGCTGGCTGGGGGGTATCCTCTATAGTAGCCCAGACCAAGGGGACCAGAGGAGTAGGGAACACTGTAGGACGGGTGGTAGAACCCACCGCTAGATAGCGGGAACCCCAGCCCGTGAACAAAGGGTACGTCTGACATGGACTCTCGCAGCTTGGGAGGGCGCCCGCGTTTCTTCTTCAGGTCTGGCTTGCGGACGTAGTGCAGAGAGTCACAGGGGTACGATGGGTGGGGGGAGTAGTAGCCACTGAAGTTGATCCTGAAGATGGTGGGGAGCAGGTCTCTGTGCAGGTAGTGATGAGGAGGGGGGCCACCAGCACCTCCCATGGTCCCAGCGGCCCTGCCACCCGGCCCTGGTACTCTGATCGCCCCCGCAGCTCCCGGGGGCATCCCCAGCCCACTGCCCAGTCTGAGCACGGGGGTGCGGTGCGCTATCCGGATCTCACTCAGCCTCACCACAATCTCATCCAGCTCGGCCAAGAAGTCGGGGTCCTGCCGCCGGGAGCGCAGCTGCAGGTACTTCTTCTTGCGTTTGCGCTTCTGCCTCTTTAGCTTGTCGTAGCCTGGACAGCCGTGGCTCCGGCGCTTGCATTTGTGCTTGTGTTTCTCTTTGTGGCCCACTAGTGTGGTGGGAGGGGCTGCCGGGTGGGGCCTGCGGGGGTCGGGTGAGGTCCTCACCCCCAGCGGTGACGGAGAGGGTGAGGGGTGTTCCAGCAGCACTGAGGACGAGTGTCTTAGTCCACCGTGAGGGTTCAGCCCAACTCCAACCCCCACAGCTGAGCCCATCACTCCCGGCATTAGCAGCCCACTGGCCATCCCAGGTTGCATCCCAGCACCGCAGGCCTTCTCCCCCCGGTCAGAAGTGCTGTTGTTGTCTGTTCCTATGCCACTGTCGCTGGGTACAGTCTCCTCACTGTGAGACTCACTGACGGGTGAGGGGGTGGCTTCCTTCAGTTCACTCAGAGGTGCAGGGGATGTGGGGTGGAGAGGCCTGGGAGGGGATAGCTTACGGTAGTGGTAGTGCTGCCTGTAATGGTGGTGGTGGTGATGGTAGCCACGGCACGACTTCTTCTGGGAGGCCACGGCAGCCGAGGAGCCCAGAGTGCCCAGAGTGCGAGGGGAGGGGGCTGAGAACGTCGGGGGAGGGAAGGGGAACGAGTGGTGGCCGTGGTGGGGGTGGAAGTGCGGGTGCGTCAGGAAGTGCACTGCCCCCGGCTCCACAAAGCAGGCATCACTGTTGGGGCTCTGGCCTCCACTGGACTGGGAGAGCGAGGGGGAGGGGAACACCTCGGCAGAGGGGAGCTGGTGCTGCTGCTGAGACTGATGGTGGTGGAGGGGCGATGCGGTGTTTGGGGACAGGAAAGGCCCCTCCGGGGGTGGCGTTGGAGCTGCCAACGAGGGGTTTGTTGACACCTTAGGTTTGCGCCCCCTCCTTTTCCCCATGTATATTGTCCCCTTTTTGCTTACGTTGATCTGGGGTCCCAGTTTGCCACCGAAAGAAGCAGCCAAGGAGGATAGAGACTGGGTTGCAGCTGCTACCTGGCCCACCACCACACTGGCAGTTCCTCTGGGGGGCTCCTGCTCTGATCCAGACCCTGGTCCCAATAGGATCTGGCTAAGGAACCGTTTGCGTTTGACACTCTTCATCTTATTGATCTTGCCTATGATGGTCTTCATGATGAGCTGCCCGTTGCCCTTGGTCCGGAACTGTTTCCCATCCCCCGCTTCAGGTGCCAGAGTGGGGGGCTGACCCTCCTGCGGCAAGGTGGGGGGCAGGCGTTTGGGTCGCCCCCGCTTCCTGGGCATTGGTTTGGGAGGATTCAGGTCCACCTCTGGGTGGAGAACAGGGGGGTCCTGCTCCTCTTTCGACTTGTGTAAAGAAAATACTTTGGAGGGGGCCAGTTTGTGAGGGGGACGTCCCCGAGTGGGGGCATCCAGCCTGGGCATTTTAGACTTGGGCCGTCCCCTTTTCCTGGCTGGCTGTGGAAAGAGTTGAGACATTGCGGGAGGCTTGACCTTATTGGGGTTAGGAGGCCGTCCTACAGGCCTGCGTATAGGTGGGGGAGTATCAAGGCCTGAGGATAAAGGCACGATGGTTTCGTGCTGGTCAACTGGGCTGCCCTGGCCCGCCCTCTGTGTCCGGTTCACTACTCTGGTCCAGCGGGGCTTTCTGCCTCGCCGCTTCTTCAGGGGTTTGTTGTTCTGCTCTGGAGGCGAGCCCGGTGACTCATCTCCAGGGGACTCGTCTCTGAGAGGAGGGGGTAAACAGTCGCCGGTGGGCTCTGGCGGCGAGGCAGTCCGTCTCATAGACTCCGGAGGACTGGAGATCCCGCTGGTGCGACCGTCCCTTTCCCCGTTGGGACTGCGTTTACCGGGGCTCGAGCTCTTGCTTCTCTCCACGCTGAGTGACTGATTAGCCCCCTTGTCCTTGGCCTCCTGCTTGCCGGATGCTAAAGGAGGGGGGCATTTGGATAAGTCTCTGGTGCCGTGCCGGTCACGCTCCCTCTCACTGCTCTCCCTCTCCTCTGCCTGGGAGGGACTGTCTCGGTCTTTGGAGTGGTGTCCTTGAGAGGCTGGGGAGCCCTGGCGACATGACAGGCTGCCCGTCCTCTTCTCTGATGAGGAGCAGGATGACAAATAAGGTGGTGAGGAGGAAGAGGAGGCGGCGGAGTGGGGCGGTGGGCAGTGAGTGAGACGTGACTGTAGTGGCTTCGCGCCTTTACTGTTGCTGTCGTTGTTGTCCTTTGAAGTTGTTGCCAGGCGGGTGTTGCCGCCGCCGTATGTTAGCACGGGGCTGCTGCTGCGACTGCTGTTGTTACTGCTGCCAGACTTGCCGGCCCCATCCGCCTCCTCTTTCCCAGGCGGGGTGGGTGACTTCTCCGAAACACTGTCTTTATTGTTCCGGGAGCCATAGGGGCGGCCAGGAGGGCGCGAGACAGGAGGGGGTGGAGCTAGGTGGACCGCTCTAGAATAGGTTGCCCTGTTGACCATAGCGCGGTCTCGCTGCTTTGGGGTGGGGGCCATAAAGTTAGAAGTGGTGTGGGTGGTGGGAGAGGGAGTTGTTTTGGGGGGTTTCACCTTGGTGGACTTTGAAGGAGGGCAGGTGGCGATGAGTTGTGCTAGTTTCTCAGTGACAGTTGGAGCGCCCCAACTAGGAACACCCTGGTCCTTCTCCTCCAGACCCTCACTGCTGTAGGTGTGCGCAGGAGGATTGGTAGCGCCTTCCACGCTGGGTTCCTGTGATGGGGGCGCAGGAGAGGAGGGCGAGGAGGTCGGAGACTTGGTTTGGGGCATGGGCATCTTCTTCCCAGAGGCATGGTGCGTTTTGCTGTCTGCAGAAAGGCGGTGAAGATTCAGGGGTCTCTCCGTCGAGGTGGCGGATTTCCCATCCGACTTTGCCTCCGACTTGTCTGACTTGCTGGCCAGTTTTGAAGGACCCTGTGAAAAGAGGATACAAATATTAAAATCATTGATTGCAGAATGATAAGGCCTACCCATTTCACAGAAGGTAGCTCCCATAAAGGTATGGTTGTGTTACACAAAAAGTATATTTTCTTTTATAACTATTTTGGCATTTGTAATCTTCTGATATGTATCCAAACCCAGGCAATGCCTTCTGGTAATTATCTAGAGTAGAAAACCTATTAGAAAAAAATGAAGCTCTGAAAGAAGCATTTGACAACCACATAAAGCAGGCTTAAAGCACAACCCCGTCAATAAGGCAACCAAGACGGTCTACATGGAATCCAATCAGGTTTCGTTTATTCCTATGTAAATTGCAGTTCATTGATGGGATTTTCTGTCCACTACTGCTTCCCAGTTCTGCCTAGAAGGAAAGATCCTCTAGACTCAATAACACTTATTAGGGTCAGACTGGGACAGAGCAGAGGAGAGAGAGGAAGGAGTAGAGAAGCAGGGAATGATTGGAAGGGGAGACAAGCAAGAGTGGGACACAGAATACAGACAAATAAACAGATGATTGTTCAAAATATAAAGCAAAATTAGCTTTACAAGTAACAAATATAATTTGTGAATTCAAACCAGTGAAACAGTGTTGGAAGAGAATAGGAAATGCTATCATGTGTGAACTGGCTGACAGTATTGCTTTGCCTCTTTTTGGCACAGTCAAAAGCCAGACAGGTCTTGTGCAATTCATAACAGCCTCTTTAGTTGGGATACCTTGTTTGTCATGGATATGGTTTTTCAATCAAAGTCCTAGCCTAATTCGTGCTTGCCTTGCTTACCCGTTTAGCTGAAGCACTCCCATTCACTGGACTGGGTGATTTGGTGGAAGGAGAAGGAACAGGTGGAGGAGGAGTGTGGGCAGCAACAGCAGAGAGAGATGAAGACGGTGGGGTGGGTCGTTTCATGCCAGGACACTGCTCTCTCTCCCTGCCGTGTGTTGGGCTCTGGGTCTGGTTGCCCCCGTCGCCTGCCCCTACTCCTCCGCGGCTCCCCCGGCCACCTCCGCGCCCGCTGGGTCTCACGGTGGCCCTGAAGGCCGGCCGACACACGTAGTTCTCCAGGATCTTGGGCGGCTTCTTCATGCGTTTGGCCTGCAGGCCAATCTTGAGTTTGACGTTGCCCTCATGGAGGCTAGTCTCTTTGACAGAGAACTGGGGGGACTGCTGCTGGTCACTGGAGCCCTCTCCTCCACCTGCAGCAGAAGAGGAGTCTTTCTGCGACCCCTCTCTCTCCTCCTCGTCGTCTTTCTTCCCACCCCCTCCTTCCTTCTCTCGCTCCCCTGGGGGAGCAGTGATGGGGAGGGCGGGTGGAGTAGCAGGCCCCCCTTGAGTCCTCTGATCCATCAGAGATTTAGGGGGTGAGGGGTGACTAGGGAGGGATGTTTTTTACGGCAGGTACAGTTTCTAGGGAAAGGCCGTGGTCCAGGAAGAGACAGGATAGGGGTGAAGGGGGATGGGGATATTGGGGAAGATAAAAAGCAATCCTTGCTCTGTGTCTTTTCTCCCTTCCTGAATGCCCAGCCCTCTTTCTCCGTCCTTCAAGCTGTAGAGAGAAAGACAGGTAGAGATGGGAGAGGGTAGGACAGGGTGGGGAATAGTAAAGCGAAAAGACAAGAGTTTGATATTAGTCAACAGTCAACTGAACAAGAGATTTGATCAAAAACACAGACTTTTCTAAGCACTGCGAGGCATCCTTTACCATAGTAAACGAGGGAGGAGACGAGAGATGAAATATTTTTAACATCAATTTGCTTAGTGGCTTTCCTTCTTCCCTAGTGACTTTTTATGATGTGTTCGTCCTTACAGCTTCCCTCAATCTGTGACCTCTTTACACAGCTGTGCGTGTATTTGACAAGAGAGGTGTAGTTCTGCTGCTCAAGGACTCAATAACAGCCATCCACCTGAGAACTACAACTCCCAATAGCCCTCCAGGTCCAAGGTCTATAATATCACTATCAAGTGTCTCAGGGTAAGAGCGCTGGTTTAGGATCAGTTTTGCCTTGTAGATCACAACGAATAAGAATACGTTGACAGTTGGGACCAGATCCTAGATCAGCACTCTGACCCTCAGATATGGTTACAGCGCATTATGGGTACTGTAGTGCATCATGCTACAGACCCCACCACCACTACCCAGGTGATTTGTGATAAGCTGCTAAATGAACCATCCCCCATGGAGCTCTCATTAGTTTTAGTGAAAATGTGTCTCAGATTGCTCCGAGCGTAGTGCTGCGGCAAGGTTCCTAATTGTGTTCTCGGAGGACGGTCTTCTCCGGCTCCCCACGGCCATCGAATGATTTAATGCGGGCTCGCCCAAAGCAGGTGCTTTCTCCGGGTGAAGTCATTTGGAGGCAATTCAGAACTGTGACCTCAGCACATTGGGCCCTCTGGGGGACAGAGGATCCGGCCGCTGTTCCCAGCCACTCCGGAGCGGCCAATGAGAGAGAGCAGCATGCTGACGGTTTCTGTGTGCCTGCCCTACTGTGGCAGAAAGCACTAACAGATTCATTTAGTGGAGCCAGAGCGTGCCTAAGGAAAGTCATCCAAGTCATCCGATAAAGCAGTCAGAGAGAGAGTGCTAAAATCAATGTTTAGAAGCTTGTGAGACTACTTGTTCTGGATTGTTTTACTAGTAGCTTCTAGGGCTTGGGGGAGGCAAGCGTTTTCTGCAGAATCACAATAACTGTGGTCCAGAACTTGGAGTCTTGCCTGCGTTTCCCCACACCCACTTCTCCATGTTTACTTCAATTATTCACTCCATTTCGTCTCTAACTTCCACCATGCCCCCCCCCCCCCGTTACACATACCACACTCAAATCACACCTCCCTCCTTTCTGCCTCACTCTCTCTTCTTTCTACCTTCTCTCTTTTACTCACTTGGAAAGCTCTAGGAACAGCGGACAAACTAGAGTCACTGTTTTCCTACTAATCAAAAACACATGTATTTCCCCACACCCTCCCCTCTCTCCTTTCCCCATGTCCTTCCTTCACTCTGTGACAATCATTTCCCTCTTTCTTCTATACTCGCTGCTTAAGTGTTAGTGTGTGTGTGTGCAAATTCATTATGTAGCTTCCGCTGATCTGAGTGCTGGTATGACAAAAATAATCTGCTGTGGTAGCAAGGGATGTAAATGGCTACTGACACAAGACTAGAGTTAACCCTGACAGTGAGTCAAAACATCTCTCCCACAGTCTAACAAGGTGTTTTGCTTGAACAGAATGACACTATGCCCGTTACCTAATTCAATATTTCCAAACATACTGACCAAAGATTGTACTTTTTTTATTTCTGCATATTAGGCCTACATCTCAATATATCAAAATGCTGATGGAGAGCAGCTTTAAAGTGTCCACGTCTGCCCCTGGTAATTCTCAAGTTAGTGGGACAGTTATTCTCAGGACAGTGAAATAATGTGTTAGCCTACTACTCTAGAGATACAATTAACATTCAGAGAGAGTACTCCTGAGGTTACAGAAGGAAACATCACATTATTTCTATTTCAATGTAGAGCCAATGTCATATGTACATAGAGGTTTAGTAAAGTCATGTGGGGAATATCCCTACTCAATAAAAGGAGAAGTTGGAGATCAAATAATCGTTTCCAAACAGGAAACAGCAGGCGACAAGACGGCAATGGGGAATAACAGAATTTGCGGGAGTAACGCTTGATAGAATGACAACGACCAAGGAATACCGTGAAATGGGAACATTGTAAACAACTTGGCGAGCCCCCTCCACTCTCCCCAACTCCCTCCCTCCTCACTTTTGCACACGTTGTTCATAACTTCTTATTTCCCAATGGCCAATGGAGTAGTATTTAAAGCAGCCTCGATAGCATACTCAGGACAGGAGGACCACTCTCTAAACGTTTTCATTTTTAAACCATCATTGGCCGCTGACTCAGTCAACTATTGTACATCTTTTCAAACTGTTATTAGCATCAGTTATTACAATAAATGAGACCAAAGCCTCAACCGCAGGTGAATCCATCTTTACCCATGTGTTGTTGATAATAGATGGAGTAGCTAGACTGCTTACTTCCTAAATTCACAACAAACGCTACGACTAATGATCGACTTGACAAAATCAAATAGGCTAGAGTTTCTGATTTGTCTGAAGAACCACGATAAATCAGGGTCCCAAACAGCTGTAATGCCCTAACTTAAAGGCCAACTCCACCACTTTTCAACCTCATTTTCTTTATCTCCACCACAATACCAGTGGAAACATGTGGAAACGGCACATTTCTATATTTTGTAGCAAAAAATATCAAGTTAAGTTCTAACCGATAACATAATCAAAAGTTAAAACATTTTTTAAACAGTGCAAACACAGATTTGCGGTGATGTGGGGAGCAAGAAAATACCCTCCCTTGGGCTACAAACTCGTTGCAGGTTTTGAAAATCACTTTACTTTTAATCCTACCCTGTGTTGTAACAGAAGCATTCTTTTTTACCTTTCTTCTCGTCTTTAACCACAGACCATAGATTCCAGCTGTTTTCACATACACTATATATACACAAAAGTATGTGGACACGGCAATTTTAGCCTCAACCGTTGCTGACAGGTGTATAAAATTGAGCACATAGACATGCAATCTCCATAGACAATCATTGGCCTTACTGAAGAGATCAGTGACTTTCAACGTGGCACCGTCATAGGATGCCACCTTTCCAACAAGTTAGTTCGTCAGATTTCTGCCCTGCTAGAGCTGCCCCGGTTAACTGTAAGTGCTGTTATTGTGAAGTGGAAATGTCTAGGAGCAACAACGGCTCAGCCGCGAAGTGGTATGCCACACAAGCTCACAGAACAGGACCGCTGAGTGCTGAAGCGCGTAAAAATCGCCTGTCCTCGGTTGCAACACTCACTACGGAGTTCCAAACTGCCTCTGGAAGCAACGTCAGCACAATAACTAATCTTCGGGAGCTTAATGAAAATGGCTTGACATGGCCGAGCAGCTGCACACAAGCCTAAGATCACCATACGCAATGCCAAGCGTCGGCTGGAGTAGTGTAAAGCTCGCCGCCATTGGACTCTGGAACAGTGAAAACGTGTTCTCTGGAGTGATTAATCACGCTTCACCATCTGGCAGTCCGACGGACGAATCTGGGTTTGGCGGATGCCAGGAGAACACTACCTGCCCGAATGCATAGTGCCAACAGTAAAGTTTGGTAGAGGAGGAATAATGGTCTGGGGCTCTTTTTCATGGTTCGGGCTAGGCCCCTTAGTTTCAGTGAAGGGAAATCTTAACGCTACAGCATACAATGACATTCTACACGATTCTGTGCTTACAACTTTGTGACAACAGTTTGGGGAAGGCCCTTTCCTGTTTCAGAATGACAATGCCCCTGCGCACAAAACGAGGTCCATAACGAAATGGTTTGTTGAGATCAGTGTGGAAGAAGTTGACTGGCCTGCACAGAGCCCTGACATCAACCCCATCGAACACCTTTGGGATGAATTGGAACACCGACCGCGAGCCAGGCCTAATCGCCCAACATCAGTGTCCGACCTCACTAATGCTCGTGGCTGAATAGAAGAAAGTCCCTGCAGCAATGTTCCAACATCTAGTGGAAAGCCTTCCCAGAAGAGTGGAGGCTATTATAGCAGCAAAGGGGGGACCAACTCCATATTAATGCCCATGATTTTCGAATGAAATGTTCGACGAGCAGGTGTCCACATACTTTTGGTTATGTAGTGTATGTAGACACTGGTTTGGTGCTGGAGATGATAAAGTTGAGGTTGAGAAGTGGCGGAATTGTCCTTAAACCTACTAGTAAAATATAGCCTTGCTACACATAGTCATGGAGTTAAAATTATTAGATTGCCCGTTTTCAACATTGCTTGGCCATATCATCACATCCTCATTGCAAAGGGTCCTTGCTATCCGGGATCCTTCAGACTTCCCTACCCCCTTCATGTTGAAATGGTTAAGGTTAGGTAAGGGTTATGGTTAAGGTTTATTTAGGATAGCACTAACCCATCTCAAATGTAGCCTATTATGGTTTCAAAACATATCCGTTTGACGATTTCCGGGGAAAATATAATAAATATATTTTATGAAAAAGGGCAGAACATCTCTTTACAATATCAAATCACCTCGTGCGAGAACGTTTGATCGTCATGCGTTGTAACGATGGGTGCTGCAGGGCATTGTGAGCACAAGAGATATACATCAAAATATATATTTCATAATAAAGAATGACCATAAGGATTGACAATGTCAACAGCTACAATAGTCCGTAAATCTTTCAGATTATGCATCCACTCACCTCCGAAGGATTCCAATAACAGTGTTCACATTATGTGGATCGAAATCCCCCCTTCGTATGTATCAACATGGTCGCCACAGTATATGCCCCACTGCTGGTTTGCCAAAAACGCAAAGATTAGAGAAATTTAAAAATTATACATCCATTCCGATTTTGGGAGATCAATTATGAATTCTGACATGTCCCAAAAATGTTCCCATTTCAAAATAATTTGCATCAACTGACTATTTGACTTGATAATAGTACTGTTGTTCTAAGCAGTGGTCAGCTATGGCTAAACTGCTAATTCTTATTCTAGTTGTAGCTTAGTAGTGACCCCAACCGACGTCCTAACACATGAGAATATTGCTTACGAGAGAAATATAACAAAAATCAGAAAGTTATTATACAGACGACAAAGGCGGTAAATTCTTACATTGTTGCCAATTCTAGAATGACAATTTTTGGAAAAAGGCAACAAAATATCGCGCGTGCGGTAGCGACTACATATAATGTACTCATTCGTAGAAGGACAATGTTTATTTTGTAACAAGCTATGGGTCGTCCAATAATAACCTACGCTACATTGTATCAATGGTGCTCGCTAGCATGCCATCATCTGTGCTGCCTTGCTATGATAACTTGGATTCCAGCAACGTGGCCGTACTTGTGGGAAATGTATCCATCTGACAGCTTTACATAATTTGATAGTCTCCGTTTAGTTACATAAAGTTCACAAATAAGGAAATACAAACTAAACCAAATAACGGAATAACCTGTCATTTTAGCGTAGCGACTCCTGCTAGCTTTGTAGCTAAAGCTAAACTATGACGGCTAACGATGCAATATTATTCAGCTAGCAAGATAGACTATTCTAAGTCATGGCTGACTCTATATCGAAGAAGTAAAGACAAATGCAACAGCAAAACAGCTAACAATATTTAAAGAAGCAGATAGATTTAAATAAAATAGATGCAGCGCTGTGCACGTTATTAAAAAAAGACGAACTGTCAACAAAATGGCGGCTGCGTTGAATCAACAGAGACCCGAAATGGATCTCCCTCAATTTCTTATCCCTCGCCCTGTTTTTTTTCCTCACAGCAATTGGTATCCTTGATATCTCCAAACACGACTGAACTCTTCTCCAAGACAACGTTAGCTGAGCCGAGGCGTGTCGGAATGGGCCTAGGTCATTAATCGGGCCTCCATGTCTGCTAAGCCCGTATAGTCTGTCAGTACAACACGGACATTCTCAGTCACACACAGTGAGGGAGGGGAGGAACGGGGGGGGGGGGGGGGGGGGGGGGGGGGGCGGCGGCGGCAGTTATAAACCCCGCCTATAAAAATACATTCCTACAATTTATCTTCTTAAAATCTGATTTTAACCCTAACCTTAAATTTAGACCAAAAATATAATTGTTGTTTTCATGAATTTTTACAACAGACAATTTTGACTTTGTTATCTAGTGGGAGCCCGGGGGGAGGAGGCAGATGTCGTATGTCTCCTGTAAATCGCTCTGGATAAGAGCGTCTGCTAAATGACTAAAATGTAAATGTAAATGTATGAAAATGTGTATGCACTCACTAACTGTAAGTCGCTCTGGATAAGAGCGTCTGCTAAATGACTAAAATGTAAATGTGTGGTATGCTACTGGACACTCACTCCAGTCGGTGTTACAAAAAATGCCCCTATCATTATCTTATTTTTGTGTTTTGATAGTGAAAGTGAAATGAAAAACTGCTGCAACAACGGCGTGGCATTGCACTACATGAACTGGCAGAAGAGGTTACACTTTCATGCTCTCTGTGTAACAGCCTATTATTATGCATAATTGACAACCTTGAACAAGAAAACGAATGTGTTTGTGTGCGATCGTGGCTATGTTTACCCACAGTGAAGGATCTAGACTCCCGTGGGAATAAAATTGAGAGGCGGGATGTCAATATGTCTGTTTAGAATTATAATCCAATCGCCTTTGTTCAAAATTCAGGAAACGTTTGTAACTCGAATTGAATTTGTCAATTTAGTTCTACCATGCAAACTCTTGCATATCATTGGTCATTGTCTTAAAATAGGCGGGAATGGTAGATAGCCCTTATGAAGTATTGGGCAAATCTATCCTGTCTATCTCTTGAATGTACAGTATGTCTGTAAATGAGTACATGAGCAGAAAGTTGGCAGAAGATCAAATGGCCAAGGATGCAGGGTTAATGTGTCTCAAATGGCACCCTATTCCCTATATGGATCCTGGTCAAAAGTAGTGCACTGTGTAGGAAATAGGGTGCCATTTGGGACACACCCAGGGACATTTTGGCATTCAATGACACTGCTTTTCACTTGTGCTTTATGAATTTGACCATTTTTATTATTATTGTCAATCTTATCACCTCATTGCCAATCAGATGTATTCGTTAACAAACATATACATGTATATACACATCTATACATATATACATAACAATACATATACAGTTGAAGTCGGAAGTTTACATACATTTAGGTTGGAGTCATTAAAACTAGTTTTTCAACCACTCCACAAATTTCTTGTTAACAAACTATAGTTTTGGCTAGTCAGTTAGGACATCTACTTTGTGCATGACACAAGTAATTTTTCCAACAATTGTTTACAGACAGATTATTTCACTTATAATTCACTGTATCACAATTCCAGTGGGTCAGAAGTTTACATACACTAAGTTGACTGTGCCTTTAAACAGCTTGGAAATTTCCAGAAAATGATGTCATGGCTTTAGAAGCTTCTGATAGGCTAATTGACATAATTTGAGTCAATTGCAGGTGTACCTGTGGATGCATTTCAAGGCCTACCTTCAAACTCAGTGCCTCTTTGCTTGACATCATGGGAAAATCAAAAGAAATCAGCCAAGACCTCAGAAAAAAAATGGTAGACCTCCACAAGTCTGGTTCATCCTTGGGAGTGATTTCCAAACACCTGAAGGTACCACGTTCATCTGTACAAACAATAGTACGCAAGTATAAACACCATGGGACCATGCAGCCGTCATACCGCTCAGGAAGGAGACGCGTTCTGTCTCCTAGGGATGAACATACTTTGGTGCGAAAAGTGCAAATCAATCCCATAACAACAGCAAAGGACCTTGTGAAGATGCTGGAGGAAACAGGTACAAACGTATCTATATCCACAGTAAAACGAGTCCTATATCGACATAACCTGAAAGGCCGCTCAGCAAGGAAGAAGCCACTGCTCCAAAACCACCATAAAAAAGCCAGGCTACGGTTTGCAACTGCACATGGGGACAAAGATCGTACTCCAAATGGACAATGACCCCAAGCATACTTCCAAAGTTGTGGCAAAATGGCTTAAGGACAACAAAGTCAAGGTATTGGAGTGGCCATAACAAAGCCCTGACCTCAATCCTATAGAACATTTGTGGGCAGAACTGAAAAAGCATATGCGAGCAAGGAGGCCTACAAACCTGACTCATTTACACCAGCTCTGTCAGGAGGAATGGGCCAAAATTCACCCAATTTATTGTGGGAGGCTTATGGAAGGCTACCTGAAACGTTTGACCCAAGTTAAACAATTGAAAGGCAATGCTACCAAATACTAATTGAGTGTATGTAAACTTCTGACCCACTGGGAATGTGATGAAAGAAATAAAAGCTGAAATAAATCATTCTCTCTACTATTATAAGTGGTGATTCTAAGTGACCTAAGACAGGGATATTTTACTAGGATTAATGTCAGGAATTGTGAAAAACTGAGTTTAAATGTATTTGGCTAACGTGTATGTAAACTTCCGACTTCAACTGTATAGGCCCATCATAATATATTAAATATTAAAAATATGTTTTTTTTGCTGTGACTTGTACTTATTATTACAAATAAAACGATAGAAAGAGGTAAAAGACTAATGCATTAGGAAAGTGCATAATGTTAGAACAGGAAGGTGGTGGATAGTTTTAAGAACACAGCATTAGGCTTTAATAGGGGACATAAAGATAGGTGGACATTATTAACGAATACTGCTCTGTGAGATTAAGAGGAAGCGGGAGACAGGGGAGAATTTCAATTGCATACTCCTCGCGTCCTCTCTCCTCGCCTCCTTCTCAAAACCCATTGGATGAGAAAGCCAGAGGTCCCACCCCTCTGATCTTCTCCTCCAATGGATTTTGAGGAGAGAGGATGCAAGTAGCAATTGAGATTCTCCCTGTGCTTGCGTTCCAATAACCTCTCCTTCCTCCAGAAGTGTACATTCGTTCACTACTCTAAGAAATGTATAGGGATCTGTGGGTGAAAACGTTGTCAGGTGAATTTTAGAAGAGAGTAGAATTTTGACAATGAGGCACAGTTTAATTGAAATCTGTCTCTTCAATAAATGCGTGGTCAGGATGACGAGGCATGAGGATAGAGGTGAGCCTCGTTCAGGAGAAAAAAAGGGAAGAAGATATGCCAGAGGGGTAGAAGAGAGGGAGACCTAAACCTCAAATAGCCTGTCTCTCCTCCTGAGGGTCTGTCCTGATGGAGGGGGGCTCTGGGGGTTCTGGTGGGGGCTGGATAGTCTGGTCGACGCCGTCAAGACTTTTACGACACACAGGACAGGTATCATGCTGTGGGAGAGATACACAAACATGTGAGACGTGACAAAACATGCTTAACATTACACGTTAAGTCTCAATACTTCTGGGCACTGTTGGCCGGTTTCCCAGACCCAGATTAAGCCTAGTACTGGACTAACAAGTGCTTTCAATGGAGATTTTCTATTGATCTTGCTTTTTAGTCCAGGATTAGGCTTAATCTGTGTCCAGCAAACCGCCCCTGTGTGTGGCACAAGGTTACCTCCAGAGCAATATAACCAAATACTCTACCTCAAGTCAGGATATGTGACCCCAATTACACACTAACTAACCTTCCTTGACAAATGAAATAGTGGTGTTGTAACCCCTATTGACCGCCAGCCAACACTCCCCCTGCTTACCAGTTCGAGCCATGGCACTATACAGTCACAGTGGAAATAATGGAGGCAGGGCAGCTGTTTGACAGACTCTCCCACGGAGTACTCCTCCCTACATACTGGACACCCCAGTCTGCTGTCTGTGAAAGAGGTACGGGGGAGGGGAGGGGAGGGGAGGGGGGGGGGGTGGGGTTCATTAAATTGTGTACATTTTAGAATAAAGAGAGAGAACATTGACTAGTAGTGCCCACATAGGTGCCTGATCTGGGTAAAGAACATCTTAGGGGGAAAAAATGTAATCCATCACATTTTATTTTTCAGAATGAAACAAAAATATTGTCACCATTTTGAGAATCTATTTGACAGGTGGTATACTGCACACTACTACTGAGCAAGATCCACACCCTCTACTCCCATAGATGCTGTGAGTGTTAGCCTATGGGTTTGTTGTTGCAGCTTGGTTGGAACCCACCTGTCTGTTCTTGAGAGACGCTGACTGAGGGGAGGGTTGAGATCATCTCCTTCTCTGCAGGAGGTGGACCTGTGCTCTCAAATTGACCTAACAACTAGAGGAGTGGAGGAAATTGAGAAATTAAAAAACAGAGATGGCTTTAATCATGGCAGCACGCTGAGTCACAATCTAAGATTTTGCGCCTGGTGACATCACTGACCTCTGTGATAACTGCGTCTAGACCTCCCTGACCCCAGGCATAGTCCCCTGGATTTGAATGGAGCATGCCAGACCTGAGAGTGAGTGAGTGAGTGAGTGAGTGAGAGAGAGAGAGAGAGAGAGCGAGAGATGTTTAGAATGCCTTAAAAGAGGCAAAGTAATGAAAACAATAATTATGAGGTTAAAAAAATACTTATTTACAGTGCAGCTGGTGCGACGCCTGGATTTCCATTGTTGGCAAACAGACCAGCCAAAAACTGTTGCACAATACTAAAGAAAAAGGTAAAGCAATTCAATCTTTTTTGCACACACAGTGCCTTCAGAAAGTATTCACACCCCTTCACTTTTTCCACATTTTGTGTTAAAGCCTTAACATTTAAAATTGATTACATTTAGATTTTGTGTCACTGGCCTACACACAATACCCCATAATGTCAAAGGGGAATTATGTTTTTAGAAATGTTTAGAAATGAATAAAAAATGAAAAGCTTTAATGTCTTGAATCAATAAGTATCCAACCCCTTTGTTATGGCAAGCCTAAATAAGTTCAGAAGTAAAAATGTGCTTAACAAGTCACATAATAAGTTGCATGGACTCATTCTGTGTGCAATAATAGTGTTTAACATGATTTTTTAACGACTACCTCATCTCTGGACAAATCCAACAACACATCACTGAGTACCACTATTCATATTTTCAAGCATGGTGGTGGCTGCATCATGTTATGGGTATGCTTGTCATCGGCAAGGGAGTTTTTAGGATAAAAATAAACAAAATAGAGCTAAGCACAGGCATAATCCTAGACGGAAACCTGGTTCAGTCTGCTTTCCAGCATACACTGGGAGACAAATTCACCTTTTAGCAAGACAATAACCTAAACACAAGGCCAAATATACACTGGAGTTGCTTAACAAGACAACATTTAACGTTCCTGAGTGGCCTAGTTACAGTTTTGACTTAAAATCGGCATGAAAATCTATGGCAAGATTGAAAATGGCTGTCTAGCAATGATCAACAATCAACTTGACAGAGCTTGAATAATTTTTTTAATAATAATGTGCAAATATTGTACAATCCAGGTGTGGAAAGCTCTTAGAGACTTACCCAGAAATACTCACAGCTGTAATCGACGCCAAAGGTGATTCTAACATGTATTGACAGGGGTGTGAATACTTATGTAAATTAGATATTTCTGTATTTCATTTACAATAAATTTGAAAAATGTTCTAAAAACATGTTTTCACTTTGTCATTTGGGGTATTGTGTGTAGATGGGTGAGAAAAAAACATATATTTAATCCATTTTGAATTCAGGCTGTAACACAACAAAATGTGTAATAAGTCAAGGGGTATGAATACTTTCTGAAGGCACTATAGACAGAGAATACCTATTGGAGTTTAATAACAATGTAATATCATGTAACAGAACTTTGTAATTCAGCGGTTCCCAAACTAGGGGTCGCCTGATATGAAAATGGGGTTGTGGGAATCTTGGAGAAAAAAGAAAAATACAAAAAAAAAAATGTATATCGTCTTTGTATCTCAAAATCATTGTAATGTGGATAACCTTAAAAAATCTAAATGAAAATTATTGAAATTTACCGTTGCACTTTTTATTTTTTTAACTAGGCAAGTCAGTTAAGAACACATTCTTATTTACAATGACAGCCTACCCCGGCCAAACCTGGACGACGCTTGGCCAATTGCCCTATGGGACTCCCAATCACGGCTGGATTGTGATACAGCCTGGAATCGAACCAGGGTCTGTAGTGACGCCTCTAGCACTGAGATGCAGTGCCTTAGACCGCTGCGCCACTCGGGAGCCCTTGAATCCTTCCCACGGTCAATGGCTAGGCCGGCTAAGCTATGAAACCACACACTATTGCAGAGATTTTATATATTACCGACTGCAACTGATATGGTGAAAACAATGTGTGGGGAGGCAGAAGCACAGAAACTCACATCAATACTTTTGGCAGATAACACTGAGAACATACAGCTCTGGGAAAAAAACAAAAAAACATTTGCAGTGGTCTCTTAATTTTTTCCAGAGCTGTATGCTATTGCTAGCAATCAAGAGGAATCTGACTGAACGACTCAAAAACTCCCCAACTTATGCTCTCCAAATGGACGTTAGCTGTGAGGGCCGAGATGCCCATGCATTGACTTTTGTTCGCTATACATGTCGGGGGATGCTATTCACAATGACATACTGTTATGTCTCACAATTCCCAAGCATGAAACGGCACAGGGGATGTTCAGTGAAAAACAGATTCCATGTGATCAAATGGTGGGCTTTTGCATAGACGGCGGGACGGCGGGCAGGCCTCTGCACTCTAGTTATGAAATGTCTCCCTCTGACATATGGACGCATTGTATGATACACCGAGAGCAACTGGCGGCAAAAGAGCTGAGCACAGATCTTGAAGATATAATGCAGCAGGTAGGTCTAACTTCGATTGTAAACTACCTGTGGCAACCCGTCGTTCAGGGCAGGTAGGGCAGAGCCACCTGTTTAGCGAAATTATTATTCTTATTTTTTTGTTGCCTGTTTTGCATGTTATTTTTGCATTAATACATGTCACATATCAGTTTGCAACCAATGTAAAAAAATAATAATAATAATTGAGTTAATAAAGCCGCATACAAACGTGGTCTCTTTTTTGCTTTCTTGAGTAAGGCATCTCCAAAATGCAGGTGTTTCAGCCTAGCTCAGTGCTTGCTGTGGTGGTGGGGCAGCCAGCAGGAAAATACGGAGCATAGGTGTTGGTAATGTTCTCTAGTTGCGCCGTGATGGGCTCAGTGTTCTGTCACTCATGGGGACACTACGTCACCGCCAAGTCTAAGGGTAGAGCTCGAAAATTCAAGCCCCTTGGGTGCTGCCATAGTTACATTAGAAGTGCCCATCCAAGAAGGTTCAAGGACATTGGCCACAGACAAAATGACGTCAAATCACGTTATAATCACGTAGCTTTGATTGGAATGATAATGTCAACATCATACTTTCAAAATCTTAGCTAGCAGTCATCATCATGAATCAATTCAACAATCTACTGGCAAATCCTTTTCAATCCTTGTCATATGAAGAGAAATTATAGATAAAACGTATCAGTGCTCATCGGCCATTAACATTACACAACAAGTTGGAAATCGCAAATTCAACAATGAGTGGTTTGGAAGGAATCAGAGGCAAACAGCAAGCATTGCAAAGCAATCACTAGCCTGCTATTCAGTGGAGTGGGTGTGTGGTCCAAGTCTGCGTTTAAGGGTCTCTTTTCCAAGCTTAAAAGGATAAACATTCAACATTGGCCATGCTGTCAATCCAGCATGACTTCTGCCGCGTTCAAAACAACTGGAAACTTGGAACTGGGAAATCTCAGACTTCAGTGAGTTCAGTGAGACAACTGGGAACTCTGGCAAAGAAGATTATTTTAAACGGTCATCCAACTCGGAATTCAGAGAATGCCAGACTTTGATGACAGAATTTGCCACGAAGGACCGCCGCGCCACCTTCCTGTTCAAGTGAGCACAGCACAACAAGGTGAGTCCAAAAATGTATTGCATGCTGCTGCATAAATGATGTAATATGCCAGGGAGATATGTATACTGTAGCTATGGAAAGTAATACTAAATGTATGTTGTGTAGTAAGCTGTTAGTAGCCCATGTGCCTCACCCTAATAATTTGCTCCCTTTCCCCCTCATAATTTAGCCTACTGTTCTGACTTGGTGGTGCACATTTAGCCTATAGCCTGTTTTAGATAGCCAGGTATAGCAATGGTAAAGTGTTGGGACTCTGCTGTTGGGACAGCTTTCTGTAGGCCCTAACAGTTTGTGGGCACCGTTTGTCACCGTTATAGTGCAATGAATGTATTGTTTAGTGTTGTGTAGTGGCTTTGCTGGCATGCATCTAAAACATTTTTTTTAAAGTTTGCCCCACCAAGATTTACATGCTAAAATCACCACTGTAAACTACATCAAACCACATCCACTGCGTGCATGCCTGTTTGCAAAACTATGTGGAGATGTGGGATCAGAGGATGACAATATTCTATTTCAATACCGAGGCTTGATGGTTATCGAGGGGGAGTGTTGGAAAGACTTGACTTTCTGTGTAATGAAAAGGAAATGTGTCTCCTTGCCTATGCAACTGACATATTTTGGAAGCTGAACGAACTGAACGCAAGCATGCAGGGGAAATACAAAAACATTCTACAGATGAGTGACTGAATCAGTGGATTCAGAAGAAATAATTATTATTGGAGAGAGAGTCTTTCAAAAGAAACCATGCCCCCTTCCCTCGACTGTGCATGTTTCTAAACAGAAAACAGCATCAGTAAGTGTCCCACACGAGTGATGACTGCTCACCTCCAACGCTTGGAAGAGCACTTTGGGAACTATTTCCCAATCCATTTGACTGTGATCCTGGCTCAGTTGACATGCCGGTAAGTGAAATTGAGCTGTCATGTGACCGAATGCCTTCACGGGTCACTATGGAGGAGTTTTGGTTCCAGACTTAAAGGGAATACCCTGCCGTCTCCCTCTGAGCATTAATGCCGTGTTCAAAACAATTGGGAACTCGGAAATCTCCGACTTCCGAGCGTTCAAGACAACTGGGAACTCTGGAAAAAAATGAGCTCCGACAAAGAAAATTATTTTAAACAGTAATCCAACTCGGGAACTCGGGCCTCTTTCCGACCTGAAGATCACTGACGTCATGATTTGACCTCGTATTTTTCAGAGTTTCCAGTTCTGTTGAAAGCATCATAAAACTTGTGGTACCCTTCGCCAGCTCATATCTATGTGAAGCTGGATTCAGTACTCTCGTCTGCATTAAAACCAAATATCGATCCAGGTTGGATGTGACTGCAGAGATGATGTGTGCACTGTCAACATGCATCAAGCACACCCATCTCATTAAGGGTGGTGAGATAAGATACATTATGTCAGACTAATTTTCAATTGACTGTCATAGCCCCACATTAAAAGTATGTGACAGTGAGTTAAGAAGACAATCAGAAATACTGTTCGAATGTTTTTCAATTGACTGCCATAGCCCCAAATTAAAAAACATTGGCTGTTAATTACATACTTATTTTTCACATGATTGGGGTCGTGAGAATTTTCTGATATCAAAATGGGGTCGTGGGCCAAATAAGTTTGGGAACCCCTGAAGTAATTACAGTGTAGTAATAACTTTTAGGACCAAATAGTATAATAGTGATTGAAATACATTATATTGCTGTTAATATGTGATAAATATGTGGTCCTCTGTAGCTCAATTGGTAGAGCATGGCGCTTGTAACGCCAGGGTAGTGGGTTCGATCCCCGGGACCACCCATACGTAAAAATGTATGCACACATGACTGTAAGTCGCTTTGGATAAAAGTGTCTGCTAAATGGCATATTATTATAATTATAAACTGATGGGAAAGATTACATTTTGGACAACTTTGATTATATAACACCATTCGTGTAATCGTGTTTTTATACAACAGTACAAGGACTCAATATCAATACAGACTCTTGAGTAGAGTGAGAATAGCTTCCTAAAAACTGGCATGGAAAGGAAGATTACTGTGCAAAATCAGCGGTCGTTGCCACTAAGGTGGCTTTAGGTCCAACTGAAATAAAAGCCATCAGCTATACCTGCCTGGCACTTGTAGCATGGGGCAAAACCATGATAGAGAGTGAGTGGATAAAGATAATAACGTTACACCGTAGACAGATCAAGATCAGTGATGGGCATCTCCACTAACCCCTCCACTGCTGGCGCACGGGACTGTCGCCTCCCCTGGCTAGGCGGGCGAGAGGGGCGTTCCGGTTCCGGCTCCAAAGGCTCTGTGCCTCCCACAGGGTCCACAGAAGGGCCCTCCAGCTCTTCCTCCACTGCATCACTGGCTGTGGCAGCCTGTAGAAGGCTCTGGTCAGACTCAGAGGCGGAGGGGTCCGAGAGAAGGGCAGAGCGTTCCATAAACAGCAGCTGCCACAGCTTGGAGGAAGGAGAGCAGACCAGTAAATTCAGATTAAAGTTTGAGACTGGGAAAAGGATAGAAAAAGACAAAGAGAACTTGGGAGGACATACAGGTACCTCTGAAAAGAGTGTGCCTGCATCATCATTGACCTCTGCAGTGCTGCTGTTCTCCAAGAGACTGAAGGACAAAGACAAAATGTATATCATAAACGTAGTTATTTAATTTATTGTAAATTAACACATTAAGAGAAATGCAAATACAATATTTTTTAATTGAAACATGTATTTTAATTGAATATATCTAATGTATATTATATCAGATGTATCAGCAACTGCACATAATACTATACCTAAAATACTCCAGCTATGATATTGCAATTCCAGTATAGGCCCACTATAAGCAGAAAAGCATGCAAACAAACAGCACAGATTTAAACATCTTACCTGGAGTCTTCTGTCAACTCCTCAATGAAATCGGACTCACACCTGGGGCACGTGAATTCCTTGAGGAAAGTAAATAAATTTATATTTCAAATCATGATGACATAACATGAAAATACAAAGGAACACACTTGCCGCAGTATCAAGTCCCCTAACTTCAAGATGCGCGTTAATGTCAATGTAAAAAAAAAAAGCTGCTCGTCAAACGCGCTGGTGCGCCTGGTGGTGTGCGGACAAGGGACACCCTGCCACAGCACCCATCCCCTTTTTATGCATATGCCGCGTTCATATGCTAGTCGGAACTAGGAAACTCTGATATTTCCCACTTGCTAACTGGTTGTAGTAGGCTACACGTTCCGCGTTCAACCAGTACCAAGTCGATAGTTTTACGTGTTTCCTAGTTCCCACTAGCACTTGAATGGGGCAATAATGTTTGTCACGTGCAGTTGGCGACACGGTAGTGCTTCTAAATATGGCAAAGACGCAAACTCGAAAACTTGGTTCACCAGATTTCTTCGCAACAACGAATCTAACGGCGCGCTCTCCATGCAATGACACTTATAACGTCTTATTCTAATAACGACAATATTCTATTCTATCAGTCACATTCAGTTTCAGATTAAAATGTTTGTATATTTTCTTATAACGAATTTCGGAAGGCGTAGCTACCTAGCCCTACTACTGATTTAAAAAAACGTCGGTCCAGAACCGGACGGGAAAGGAAGGAAGAAAGGCACTTGAGCCAACTCACCGGGAGTTTAGGGTCGATTTCACCTTTACAGCAGTGACAGAAAAAACGGTGTTGTGGTGCCGCCGTTGCCTCCGCCATCTTCACGGTAGCATACAGTCAATGACGTCGGTATGGTAGCTCAAGCCAACGGAAGGCGTAGGGGCGTTTGTCTAAAGGGTAATGTAAGTCCATAGGCTATAGGCTACTTTTGACTTTAAATAAGAAAAACATTTATTCAAGATATGTTCCCGATTTTAAAATAACTTATTTGCTAGTGAACAAATTGTTCTTATTGCTCTAATCATAATTCACCGAGGTTATAAATGCATTACTACTCCAATTTCAACCAAGCGCTGCTGTTAGAAGATCGCTGCAGTAATATAACATAGCAACACTTAGTTGAAATTGGAGTAGTAGCCTATACATAGGACTAGGATTCCCCGTCAAAATGTACATGACTAATGTAACAAGTAAATAGCACAATAGGCTTAGTGCCTTACTGTGTAAACTGAACCGATTTCAGTTGTTGCACAAATGACCAAAAGGCTGAATCTATAAATAAATAGTTGAAGCAAAATCTGCAATTGTAACAATGAGACTAACCAAAACAACAGAATATACTGGTAATCTAAAAACTGGTTTTACTGGTCACAGATTAAGCCTAGTAGTCCTGGCCTAAAAAACTATTTAAATGGAGATTGTCCATTGAGCATGCTCTTTAGTCCAGTATTAGGCATCAGGTAAACTGTTGTATTAAACACACAAATTACAGTAATAACAGAAGCATGCTAAAGTGATGACTAAAAGGACAGCAAGAATTGCATCATGGATGTAGTTTCCCAGGAGTCTCCCGAGTGGCGCAGTGGTCTAAGGCACTGCATCGCAGCTAGCTGTGCCACTAGAGATCCTGGTTCGCATCCAGGCTCTGTCGTAGCCGGCCGCGACCGGGAGACCCATGCGAAGGCGCACAATTGGCCCAGCGTCGTCCAGGGTAGGGAATGGCCGGCAGGGATGTAGCTCAGTTGGTAGAGCATGGCGTTTGCAACGCCAGGGTTGTGGGTTCGATTCCCACGGGGGGCCAGTATGAAAAAAATATATTTAAAAAATAATGAATGCACTCACTAACTGTAAGTCGCTCTGGATAAGAGCGTCTGCTAAATGACTATTTTTTTTTTTTTTTTTATGTAAATGATCTATAGGAAAGACTACAGTACATCTTATTCAGTCCAGTGAAGAGGTCATTGTCAGAAACGGTACATTGTATACAAAGCTTTGTCTATATTAGTTTTATAAGTAATAGGCCTACAATATTTTAGGTTAGGCTACTGACATGACTAATGATACTCTATTGGTGAGGTGACCAAAGGGAGGTTGAAAATATGGAGCATATCAACTGATTTTATTAAAACCAAAAAAGAACAACAATGACGATCATGACAACCACATACAGCATCAACATAACATAATAATAGCAATAATATTACAACCCAAAACAAAGTGTTTTTCTCATTTAAAGTTATAATTTTGGCAAAGATAGTGTGTAAATAGGTAGGCATTCTCATTTGGGATATCAAAACAAATGACTTGTTAGTGCTCACTTTAGCAAACATGATAGCATCGGCAACAGATAATTGAACCGTTCAGCTGTTAATTTAGTGTTAAATATGCAGCATCACTTCAGTGCATCCATCACAAACTCAAGTCCCACCCCTTTCCAGAACTTTCACTTACTTTAATGTAACAATTCAACAAAACACCCAAATCTTGCATACTTATTTTGTACTGTACACCCTCATACATACCTACCCCTCTCTCCCTACCAGCTCCCTTGCCCTACTTGCCTGCCTTCCCTCTATCGAGACACCCCAGTAAAGGCCCCCTGGGCGGCAGAAGCAGTGGCGTTGGCAGCTGCCTGGCGAACAGCCTGATTGGACATCACTCCAGTGGCAAACTCAGCCTGAGCCTTCACGAAGCTGGCACCGGTCTGCCTGTACAGAGAGTGGACCTGGAGGGGAGAGGAAGAAGGCTTTGATACATGATACATATGGGCAACTCCACGATAACAGAGTGATGCCGAGACTCCGTTTTTCATTTTAAATTGTAGCTCAAACAAAAACCAATGATTGCAAAGTTAAACAAACTATGGCACTCTATGCACAAGGACTACTTTTAACAATTTCCACAGCAAACTTCACAAAAACACAAGAACAGTGCAGAATGACGGCACAAACCATCATTCTGATACCAAATGTTGCATCTGCACTGTTTTTTATTCAGTGGAAATTGATAAAAAGTAGTCCTAGTGCATAGAGTTCCATAGTTTGTTTAACTTTGCAATCATTGGTTTTTGTTTGACCTACAATTTAAAGTGAAGAATCTGAGTCGCAGTATCACTCTGTTACCATGGAATTGCTCATATCTCAACACCATACTCGCTACCAATCTGAAAACAATACAGTAAATAATACTAATAATTACTCTCTAATAATTACTCTAATTTCTGTGGACGATTCTAAATGTTAATTGACATACTGGTTCAAGATGAAAAAGATTTGAGAAGCTGAGTGTTTATGTTGTTGCCTTTTTACCCTCATCCTATTCCTTCCTCCCCCATGTTGTACTTCATTCCAAACCATTGTCTACCTACTGTAATTACTCCACAATGTCCTGATTTGCCCTAGCATACAATACCCTTTAGCCTGGTTAAACTAGGCTAAATTCCCCTCCCTCTTATGCCTTCATTTCAGGTTTACCCTTTTGAGCATGACAACCCCCATGGCAGCCTGGGCAGTAAATAGGATGGCATTGAGCATCATGATCACACCAACAGGCACACTAGTCTTCAGAGCAGCCAGACTCACAATCCAGCCGCTGAGTGGAACAGGGATCGGGAGGGAAGGAGAGAGAGAGAGAGACAGAGGGGGAGTGTGACGAAGGATAGGTGTGTGAGGAATGTACTTTATAGGAGATTTAATAGTGTAAAAGTAACGTAAATCTATGATAGTAATTGTAACAGTCATAAGATAGTCCTTGACAATGGTTGGCTTGTTTGTGGCACGTACCTGAAACCCCATCCAGGAATGCCAATGGTCATGATAACATAGACAATCACTTGGACGAAAAAAATGAAGAAGAAGGTGAAGAAGTTGAAGGAGCTGTCACTCCTGAAACGAAAAATGCATTCATCGGTTCATTGTAACCTGATATAAACAGAAGAAATCTAAATAGAGCATGTCCGTTTTGTAATGACAAGCCCCTAAACTCGAATTGTGCAATAGTACACACCTGAAGGCTTTGTACACAGGCCTGTACCAACAGACAAAGGAGCAGGGGGTGAAGAGGAGGACCCAGAGGATGGCCAGGCCCAGCCCAACACCACCAGAAGAGTCCACACAGAACAGACTCAGGCAGGAAATTAAGTTAAACGCCAGTGCGCAGGCAGTGACTGAAAGAGGGGGAGAGAAAGAAGACAAAAGGAAGAGCGTAGGATGGGTGAAGTGATGAGGAAGAGCAAGGGAGTGAGCGAAGGGAGTGAATGAGAGCATGAAAAGTGAGGGGAAGAAAGGGAATAAAGAGTAGATAAAGGGGGTAAAGAGAAAGGAGATAATAGAGGTTATAGAGATGCAGACCAGAGATGGAGGGATGGATAGGTATGTAGGCAAAATAAGAAGAGAAAGGTAAATTGGTGTAAATTAATTTGAGAAATCTCTACGTTTCAACAGTGTCATTAACTATTAGGTAACATTCTTAACAAACTGCTAAACATTTTCGTTAATCATTTAATCTGAGCATTACTACCATCATTCTTTCATGAAATTGTTCCTTGTTACAGATGACTTCACCAGACAGGCAGAAGACAGCCAGGCACAGACGGGGAAACTCACACATCCAGTAGTAATACATGATGGAGACAGTGCGTTGGAAGCTCTGGCTGATCTCCATGTTGATGTCTTGGTAGAAGCATGGTCCCACAGGGCAGAAAGTGGGCAGGGGAGGCCAGTTATTCTGACGAGCTGACAGAGAGATGAGGCAGTTAGGAACCAGTGTAAGGTAATCCTACCATCTCCGATCCTCCCTTCATTAACACAACCCCCCCCCCCCCCTCCATCATTTCATATCAGACTATCATCACCACCACCACCCCACTCTCTTACTGGCTCCAGGGCCGAGGGCGTGAGAGTTCAGCTCCCTCTCCCTCCTCTCCAGCTCACGGGCTTTCTTCTCCAGCTCTTCCTGCTTCCTCAGGAGCTCTGCTGTGGTGGCGTTGACCGCTGTCTGCGAAAAGGACAACATCAGGCTTTAATGCAGAGCTGAATATAGCTCCATATACCTTAGTAGATACAGTAGATGAACTTGGTTTATTAGAAATGAGTCTGATAAGTTCAGGTGCTCCATGTCAAGCTAGTAAATAAACATGGGGCAATTGAATTATCACACACAGAGATATGTGTTGCTTGTCTATGAGTATTATTTCTAGCTGTATAGGGTTTGTTCTATAACCTGCACAGGTGACTCCTGACAATTGTGTAATACATATAGAACAAGTACCTGGGGGGTGAAGGAGGTGCCATAGTTGCGGGGCTCTGTAGGCGTAATCCTGCTGGGTGGGGTTGTTGCAGGAACAGGTTGGGGGGCAGATGGGGAGGTGGCTGCATAGGCTGGTGGTGGGGGCTAGAGAGTGCATGACAATAATCAACCTATATCATTACCAATAACGTTTATAATGATCACAAACAAAGTGGCTATCCTGGCATGTTACCATGTCCAATTGCTTGGAATGTAGTGGCATTCCTGCTACTCTGCCAAAGCACATACTGCATATTATACTGAATCTCCAAAGCATTCATATTCTGAAAAACACATCTCTTACCCCATTTTTATTGTCAAATGGGTTGTAAAGATCCAGCGTGGCATACTCAGTGTTGCTGCTGTGTTGGGTCACTGCAGGGTCCTGACATAGACAAGATAAACATCACCAACAGAACATCATAAAAGCAATCACTCTTGGGCTACGTCATAGAGATCCTCTTAAATTACTATTAATAAACTCAGCAAAAAAAAAGAAACATCCTCTCACTGTCAACTGCATTTATTTTCAACAAACTTAACATGTGTAAATATTTGTATGAACATAAGATTCAACAACTGAGACATAAACTGAACAAGTTCCACAGACATGTGACTAACAGAAATGCAATAATGTGTCCATGAACAAAGGGGGGGTCAAAATCAGAAGTCTGTTTCTGGTGTGGCCACCAGTTGCATTAAGTACTGCAGTGCATCTCCTCCTCATGGACTGCACCAGATGTGCCAGTTCTTGCTGTGAGATGTTACCCCACTCTTCCACCAAGGCACCTGCAAGTTCCCGGACATTTCTGGGGGGAATGGCCCTAGCCCTCACCCTCCGATCCAACAGGTCCCAGACGTGCTCAATGGGATTGAGATCCGGGCTCTTGATTGGCCATGGCAGACCACTGACATTCCTGTCTTGCAGGAAATCACACACAGAACGAGCAGTATGGCTGGTGGCATTGTCATGCTGGAGGGTCATGTCAGGATGAGCCTGCAGGAAGGGTACCACATGAGTGAGGAGGATGTCTTCCCTGTAACGCACCGCGTTGAGATTGCCTGCAATGACAACAAGCTCAGTCCGATGATGCTGTGACACACGGCCCCAGACCATGACGGACCCTCCACCTCCAAATTGATCCCGCTCCAGAGTATAGGCATCGGTGTAACGCTCATTCCTTCTACGATAAACGCAAATCCGACCATCACCCCTGGTGAGACAAAACCGTGACTCGTCAGTGAAGAGCATTTTTTGCCAGTCCTGTCTGGTCCAGTGACGGTGGGTTTGTGCCCATAGGCGACGTTGTTGCCGGTGATGTCTGGTGAGGACCTGCCTTACAACAGGCCTACAAGCCCTCAGTCCAGCCTCTCTCAGCCTATTGCGGACAGTCTGAGCACTGATGGAGGGATTGTGCGTTCCTGGTGTAACTCTGGCAGTTGTTGTTGCCATCCTGTACCTGTCCCGCAAGTGTGATGTTCGGATGTACCGATCCTGTGCAGGTGTTGTTACACGTGGTCTGCCACTGCTAGGACGATCAGCTGTCCGTTCTGTCTCCCTGTAGCGCTGTCTTAGACGTCTCACAGTACGGACATTGCAATTTATTGCCCTGGCCACATCTGCAGTCTTCATGCCTCCTTGCAGCATGCCTAAGGCACGTTCACGACCCTGGGCATCTTTCTTTTGTTGTTTTTCAGAGTCAGTAGAAAGGCCTCTTTAGTGTCCTAAGTTTTCATAACTGTGACCTTAATTGCCTACCGTCTGTAAGCGGTTAGTGTCTTAACGACCGTTGAATAAGCATGGGAAACAGTGTTTAAACCCTTTACAATGAAGATCTGTGAAGTTATTTTGATTTTTGCAAATTATCTTTGAATGACAGGGTCCTGAAAAAGGGATGTTTCTTTTTTTGCTGAGTTTATATAATCCTATTAAATTATTGTAATTGCTCATTCTATGAGTTACGTCCTAAATGGCACCCTATTCCCTATATGGTTCAGTACTTTGGACTGTAGATTCAAATATATATAGTGCCCTTTGTAGGGAATATGGGCCCATTTGGGACTTAACATTGATCCCATAAGTATCAATATGGCAGCTTTCATTCAATGAGCCCTTTGGAACATGTTTTAATGTACAACTACTAGATATATTCTTAGAATAGCCTGGGTTAGAGCAGGGAGAGAGTAGCATCACATGTCATAAGTAACAGCACGTCTGCTATTACGCTAGTGCAACAGGCAAAACATCAAACACCTTTTTCATCAACATTGTAGCTAAATAAATAAAATAACAGTAGCTAAATATTTGCCGTTTGCATTTCATATCACCTGGAATGGGTTGTGGTCGTCGCCTGGTTCAGGAAAACTTGTGTATTTTGACATTTTTTACAGCAATTGTGTATGCCCTACTCCGTTCAAATAGAAAACCTATCTACTGACACTACGCTAACAGTTAGCTAGCTAGCCAACAACCTGTTTCACGTTTTTTGAGGCTATACAGCTGGCTATATTCTGCTGACTTGGTTAGCTAGCTAACTAGCTAGTAGTAGCAAGCTACAGCAGCTCCCTAGCTTAAAAACAAAACAAAAAAACAGTTAAGATATCGTATCGAGATAGTCATCGTCTAACTAACCGGTTATTAATAGATTTTTGTTGAAGATTTATTGCCAAATATAACACAACTGTAACCTAACTAGCAAACTAACAACATAGCTAGATAACGTTAGCTAGCCAGGACAGCTATCTGTTATCGACCGAAGACGTTGCCGCAATCTGTCAAGATATTGCCGAAATGTGCATCTATTGATTTAATTGACTTGGCTAGCTATATCCTTATATATTAGTTAACGCCGTTTCTCCTTCAATCGTATTTCTTTTGGCAGATTCCCTTTGTTATTGCCTGCAAAAATTGGCCACTGCACACACAAACGTGATCCAGGAAGTAATATCATGTGACCATGGCGACAGAAGAAGCACGTGCGCAGTGAGGGGGGCGTATGCTTTTGTGCGTGGCCAAAGTCAATCATATCCAACTAATTTTCGAACGCTTTTAAAACACAGAAGCCAAACGCGTAATATCATAATTCATATGCGCGCCACTAGAAGTCCCTACATTAGCATGTTTCTGTTGGCTGATATACAGCGCATTGGGAAAATATTCAGACCCCTTACAAAAAAAGATTGCCGTTTTGAAACTGCAGTAAAAGTGCAGCAACTGCAGTCGACTGTGGTATTTTGGACGCAGTAATTGCAGAATAACTGCAGTTATACTCTACTCTGACTACAATCTTTTTTTTGTAAGGGACCCCTTGACTTTTTCCACATTTTGTTACTTTACAGCCTTATTCTAAAATGGATTAAATAAATAAAAATTCCCCATTAATCTACACACAATACCCCATAATGACAAAGCGAAAAACTGTTTTTAATTTTTTGTTTTAATTTTGTTAAAAAATACACAACAGAAATACCTTATTTACATAAATATTCAGACCTTTTGCTATGAGACTCGAAATTGAGCTCAGGTGCATCCTGTTTCCATTGATCATCCTTGAGATGTTTCTACAACTTGATTGGAGTCCACCTGTAGTAAATTCAATTTATTGGACATGATTTGGAAAGGCACACACCTGTCTATATAAGGTCCCACAGTTGACAGTGAACCTGTCAGAGCAAAAACCAAGCCATGAGGTCGAAGGAATTGTCCGTAGAGCTCAGAGACAGGATTGTGTCTAGGCACAGATCTGGGGAAGGGTACCAAAATATTTCTGCAGCATTGAAGGTCCCCAAGAACACAGTGCCCTCCATCATTCTTAAATGGAAGATGTTTGGAACCACCAAGACTCTTCCTAGAGCTGGCCGTCCGGCCAAACTGAGCAATCGGGGGAGAAGGGCCTTGGTCAGGGAGATGACCAAGAACCTGATGGTCACTCTGACAGAGCTCCAGAGTTCCTCTGTGGAGATGGGAGACCCTTCCAGAAGGACAACCATCTCTGCAGAACCCCACCAATCAGGCCTTTATGGTAGAGTAGCCAGACGGAAGCCACTCCTCAGTAAAAGGCACATGACAGCCCGCTTGGAGTTTGCCAAAAGGCACCTAAAGGACTCAGGCCATGAGAAACAAGATTCTCTGGTCTGATGAAACCAAGATTGAACTCTTTGGCCTGAATGCCAAGCGTCACATCTGGAGGAAACCTGGCACCATCCCTGCGGTGAAGCATGGTGGTGGGCTGTGGGGTTGGTTTTCAGCGGCAGGGACTGGGAGACTAGTCAGGATCGAGGGAAAGATGAACGGAGCAAAATACAGAGAGATCGTTGATGAAAACCTGCTCCAGAGCGCTCAAGACCTCAGACTGGGGCAAAGGTTCACCTTCCAACAGGACAACGACCCTAAGCACACAGCCAAGACAACGCAGGAGTGGCTTTGGGACAAGTCTCTGAATGGCCTTGAGTGGCCCAGCCAGAGCCCGAACTTGAACCCGATCGAACATCTCTGGAGAGACCTGAAAATAGCAGTGCAGCGACACTCCCCATCCAACCTGAAAGAGCTTGAGAGGATCTGCAGAGAAGAATGAGAGATACTCCCCAAATACAGGTGTGCCAAGCTTGTAGTGTCATACCCAAGAAGACTCGAGGCTGTAATTGCTGCCAAAGGTGCTTCAACAAAGTACTGAGTAAAAAGTCTGAATATTTATGTAAATGTCATATTTCAGTTTTTTATTTTTTATAAATGTGCAAACATTTCTAAACCTGTTTTTGCTTTGTCATTATGGGGTATTTTGTGTATATTGATGAGGGGGAAAACAATCCATTTGAGAATAAGGTTGTAACGTAACAGAATGTGGAAAAAGTCAAGGGGTCTGAATACTTTCCAAATGCACTGTTTCATGACAAAATATTGCTGATGCTAAGTATTGGCCGTTGAGGGCTTTGAAGCCTCCGGTCGGCCATATTGGCACTCCCCAGTAGGAGTAGTCCTCCATAGGAATGAATGGAATTCTACTGTATTTCAATTAAATGTTTGTAGGACAAAATTACATGTATTTAAGTATTTATGTTGTTGTAGTGGGAACAGTAACATCAGTTTTTGTATATATGTTTTATGTTTAGCTCACATCATATAATTTAAAAGTATGCATTAAGGTGTCTGTAATATAATAAATGTGGCAAAAACGAATGTAGACATTAATAAATGCATTTCTATAGCTTCCTAAATATGTTTTACGACGGTGGGGGAGTGCCAAGATGGAGGCACGGTGGCTTCAACACGGCGTCTCCTATTAGTCATCTAGTGTATATATAAACGATTGGTCAAAACCCCTCTTGACTGCTGCAGGACACATCTATATTTTTTGATTCTGCAATCAATTTTATGAAATCCATGCCACTTCATCACGAAAATGTTGTTTCCCCCCGCTTTTAATTATGCCCAATGTGGAAGCCACACATGGGGGTAGCATACCTGAACTAGGCCATCCTTTCCTCCCCTCTCTGTATGACACACAACTACTTATTATCTAGTTTGAATCATGATAGTGGAAAGGGAGAAATATGCAATGTAAAATGAGAAAAGAGGTTCCATTCAGGACAAATTAAGAAAAAGTCTGACCACCACAGGGTGTCACTGTCGCTCCTAAAATTATTAGGCCAGTTCTTGCCTTGGCCCTGGGACAAAAGGAAACCACAGTGGATTCACTCAGATTCGGTGTTTAAATTGAGCTGGAGCTACCTGGAGCCGGGCTCCTGCACCTTGGGTCAAAGAGGACTAGGATAGAAAGTAGGATAAAAGTACTAACCTTAATCCTAGAATTGTAATCAGTGCTTGATTTGGACTGAAATAGGTGCCGGTACTCATGTTGGGTGCCGGTATGGTGATATTGCTGGCGACCCTAGAACAAGACGTTACGAACGCAGATTTCAAAGAGCGCTCGGGAAATCACGCCCCAGTGGGCGGAGCAGAGGCATTTTCTTAATCGTGCACTGGGTCACATTTTAATAGTGATATAGGCCTCTCATTTTCCACTAGTCTGCGGTTGTTCTCTGTAGTTATGCTAATATATTTCAGACAAGTTTATTGCAGTAAATGTTATCTATGACCTAATAAGTAAGATACAGCATCTTTGAGTACAGCCAGCCAGGGAAACGAGTCCCACTTCTTAATAGAACACATTCTGCCTGAGGGTGGCGTTGTTTACCTGGTGTCACTGGATTATCTAGTGACCAGAGTCACAGATTATCCATTATATTGACCAGATACGCAACTGGCTGCTCTAACAATGAAAATAAATGTTTATATGTACATATTACCTCAACTAGCCGGTGCCCCGCACATTGACTCTGCAACGGTACCCCCCTGTATATATAGCCCCCCTACTGTTATTTTATTTTACTTCTGCTCTTTTTTTTCTCAACACTTTTTTTGTTGTTGGTTTATTTTTACTTTTTTTGTTAAAAAATAAATGCACTGTTGGTTAAGGGCTGTAAGTAAGCATTTCACTGTAATGTCTGCACCTGTTGTATTCGGCGCATGTGACCAATACAATTTGATTTGATTTGATTTGAAATGTAATAAGAAATGGAAGGCGTTCGGGAGGAGGAAAGATCAGGTGGGACAATTCTAGCCAATGACAGAGTACAACCGATATAAAGTGTTTTTTCTCAAAGTTGTCACGTGTCCAATTTATATTAGTACACACGTAACAACCTAAGCATAACGAAACTTCTATTCGATCAAATAAACCACACGTAGCAAATAAGACGTACATTTTCTGTTAACCAAATTCGACACTCTCATTGACCTCCATACAAAAATACCTTGCTTCATGAGCGAAAAAATACTTTACAAACGCCACCTGCTGGTGAAGAGATTTTAGGCCCAGTTATCACTCTCGCTTCGCCGCTTCCTCTCTGCCAAAGTACATAACATGAAGCAATCTAGATCTACTCAGGCTCCAGTTAGCTTCACATTCCACCTCAGGTTTAATCATACATCATGAAATCAAAAATATATTGCAAATTCAACAGGCTATGGTGTGAAATAGGCTATTAGAAGTGCCTTTCTTTTATTACTTATCAATAATGCTGTCTTTAACGTGCTTATCAATGCAAGGTGTCACGTAAAAATCGTCCCAGCGTGAAATAGTTCCCAATCGTTCTGATGTGTTGTGATTGTGATGTCATGTTGTAAAATGTCTCGGTCCAATAATTGCACCTGGGTCTCTTTATGTGGATGGCTGAGCTCGTGCGGATGTTTGTCACACCCTCCCGACCGCTCAAATTTTTGTAATCGCAAAAATTCTCTCCTCACATCAACCCTCAGCACCTTGACGCACGAGTCCGGGGTGTTCATATACTGACCTCACGCCTAACAAACAGATCACCAACCATTTCGAATCACACCGTACATGCAATCCGGTTTCCGAGCTGGTCATGGGTGCACCTCAGCCACGCTCAAGGTCCTAAACGATATTATAACCGCGATCGATAATAGACAGTACTGTGCAGCCGTCTTCATCGACCTGGCCAAGGCTTTCGACTCTGTCAACCACCGCATTCTTATTGGCAGACTAAATAGCCTTGGTTTCTCAAATGACTGCCTCGCCTGGTTCACCAACTACTTCTCAGATAGAGTTCAATGTGTCAAATCGGAGGGCCTGTTGTCTGGACCTATGGCAGTCTCTATGGGGGTGCCACAGGGTTCAATTCTTGGGCCGACTCTTTTCTCCGTGTATATCAATGATGTCGCTCTTGCTGCTGGTGACTCTCAGATCCCCCTCTACGCAGACGACACCATTTTGTATACATCTGGCCCTTCATTGGACACTGTGTTAACAAACCTCCAAACGAGCTTCAATGCCATACAACACTCCTTCAGTAGCCTCCAACTGCTCTTAAACACTAGTAAAACTAAATGCATGCTCTTCAATCAAACGCTGCCGGCACCCGCCCACCC